AAAAAAAAATAAATTTATTTTACATCTTTGAAAGATCTACAACCCTATATTTTTTATTTTATTTTTCTGTTTTTGTTTTAGCCCTTAAAAAATCTCAACAACCTATCGGCCGACCTATGAATCAATCAACTGATCATCCACTCGATTGGCAAAAAAAAAAAAAAAAAAAAAAAAAAAAAAAAAAAAAAAAAAAAAAAAAAAAAAAAAAAAAAAAAAAAGCACAACAGAACAGAAAGACAAAATAAGGAAGATGTCGCTAGAAACGCCTAACAGAGATAATTCAGCTGAATTCGAGGGGGGGGGCGGGGGAAACAAGAGATGGAATATAAATTTATCAATAACTTAGTTTATATAACTTAGTTTATATAACTTAGTTTATATTTAACTGAAGTATACCCCTGTCGACCCCTCTCAACCCCGTCTTTGCCTCCTACGACTATAATGGGCCAAAGGCATCCTTTTTGTGAAGCATACACCACCTGCACGTACGTCATCGGCTTGACGTCAGGAGCTGCAGGCCAACGCTTAGGACATAAGAAGCTGACCGCGTATTATTCGAGCTGCCATCACCAGCCTCTGGCGGGAAGCTGCAGGGCAGAGGCTGAGCAACCGTGCGTCAGAAAGCGGCAGGCCCACTACAATAGTATAACGCAGTCTAGGGTCAGGATGTCATTGCTTGCTTCGAATTCGCCAGCTCAGATGTCAAATATGAGGATCATTAAGTCTTCAGTACACCCATCTGGAAGTCATTTCCGATATTGCAAACCCCCCACCCCCAAACAAAGGGCCTAACACGGCCCCCTCAGCCCAAAATGGCTCGGCTTTATTGCTTTCCTCTCTGGATCCCCAGCATAAACTTGGGAGATCATCACCCTGCCGTGGGTCTTACGGAACCGAGAGGCAGGGCGCATGGCGCCAAACTTGCTAACCTTGTTACCTACGCCAACTTGACCCACCGCATGAGCAATAAATAAACAAAGTGGACTGTTGTTATCAGCCCTCAAATGAACACATGCGCAATAAATATCCAATTCAACGGTTTAAACCCGTCAAGATTGATCCTGAATCACGGAAATGATGCTGAGCGCTGGCCACGACGCCGGCGAAGCCGTTGGAGTGATAAAAGCTTCTGACCCGGTGCCTTGAGAGGTGTGAACGAGAAGGCGTCGATGACAACCTCCACATCCGCGTGGTCTTGAGGCAGGCTGGCCTCGAACAGCCAGAGGTTGATGTGGAACACCTCGCTGCCTGGAGGAGGCACGGCGCCCACTTCGGGTGAGCTTTCGAATGACCAGGACTGGAGAACAGCCCCCGAAGAAGCGGAGGTGCTGGTCCAGGACACAGAGCTGGGCGACCAAGTCATGGTATGCATTGTCGAGTCCTGCCCGGCGACCGTGAAGAGGAGGCGTTGGCCCGGCAGCTGGTACGGCTGGACTGCGTACTGGGTGTTGGTGGTGTCGCTGGCAACACCCCACTTGGCCACCTCCACGTCGAACTCGCGATGGGGGTTGGACAGCTCGCTTTGTGCGTCATCCGCGTAGGTGAAAAGCCCAAGCACCACGTTCTCGTGCAGGCTGTTTATGGGAGATGACACCTGCACCGTATAAGTGCCGTACCCCAAAGACGATGGAAGGAGAACCTCAGCGCATGACCACCCTCCCTGTGCGTTCCTGGAGATCGTAAGATGCAGTTTTCCCTGCTCGTCCACGGTCGCCAAGCTTCCGTCCCAATGATTGGGCCCAGGTTCCTCTACTCCGGCGGAAGTCCGCCTATGCCAAAGTCTTTCCGAAAAGCTGAGATCCGATGAAGAAGCTGCTCCGACAGTCGACGAGGATGAAGCAGCCGCAGCAGCGCCTTGGGAAGCTTGGGCATCCAACGCCGTCGTCAGCATTGCACCATTTCCGAGGGGATGACCGCACGCCACACGGATCATAATAACTGGAGCAATGAGCAGGAGCCCCATTGTGGACGCGATCAACGTCGGATGATGTCAAAGTCTTTCCGGGGACTTGCGAAGTCTTCAATGTCCGCTTCACGAAGCTMACAGCAAGAAGAGGCGGAGCGAATCGAGGAGGAGGGGTATGAGCAGAAAAGTACTATTGAAGAAGGGGGCGATAGTTACAGATATACTCAACACGACAGTCCAAACCCGTGAAGGTGTGCCCAGCTTGATGTCACTTGTAGGACTTGGACACGTCTGGCAGGGAGTTCAATCAGCTGAGATTCACCAAGCCATCACGGTAGATTGAGCCCCTCCAGCAACAAAGCTGCGTGGGCTGTGCCCCCGGGACGACTACATAGCCTGCACAAACCGCAAAATGGACCGATTGAAGGCTCGATGGACAGCAGAGCTAGCGGCAGAGGTGTCTGCGAGATTGATTTCGTTCGCAAAGAAGAGCGGCTATGTAACGCCAGAGTCACGGCAGCCGGATGCAGCGAACCAAGGGCTCTTCAACATCCGACCGAACACTATAGCAGCTCACCAAGTTAATCCTCGTACGGCCCGTCACATAGCTGCTCGAAGGCACGAAGCTCATAAACACGGACAAATGAGGTCTCTTGGCGCAATCCAAGGAAAATGTCGTAATGGACAACAGCGCGAATACAGGCTTGAATGATTTGATGCTAGATGCGAGCAGTGAAAACGACTCGAAGGCGACGAGGAGTGTGTTGTGGACACATGACATTGAAACGTTCTATTTATGCGAAGGGCTAGAGATGACAGAGTGAAGACCGCCGTTCCTATGCGTCCGCCTCTAGTGACGTGTGATCCGGCCATCATCCACCTTCACTACTCTTCCCGCCAAACAAACACACCGCAGAGCAAAAACGCTACCTGCGGCTTGAATTTGGATCGAAAAACATGTACAAATGTCACTCCGCTCTGATCAAAAAAAAAACAAATCCTTTGAGCAGCGCCGCAACGGTGAAAGATTTGGAAAACGCGGGGGCAGAGAATTTTCCGCCTGATTTTCGCTACAGAAGACGAAGACTCGCTCGCCGTTCGCTGTCGGGTTGTGCATCTTGGCGGGGGAGTCTTTGACTTCTGTTAGGAAAGGCATGCGGGAACTCCCCGTGGGCGGCATTTTTCAAATCTTCCAAGCGAGACATTGGTCCTTGCTGCCCTGCTCACCAAATGTGCAAAATGAGACTGAATCCTCTGCYAAAACATGGAAAAATACATTGCGGTATTATTTGACGTCTGTTCATGTGGATAGCATTGGATTACGATTGTCGAACGGTAACAACGTCACCCCGCTCCCGTCGAAGATTTGAAAATCGCCCATTTTGCCGCTGAGAATTTCCCGCCTGTCTTTCCGTACAGATGTAGAGGACTCGCCCGCCGTGGTGCACAAGCCGCAGTCGCCGACTTCAGCGCCATCACCTTACCCTAGGAATTTCTGTGAGTTTGGCCGAATCTAGCCGCATCTGCGGTTGGATGACTCCGGAAATATTCTAGAGTGCGCGGATTCTCGGGGAGCCACCCTAGAACGCCGCTAGTACTGGACCAAGGCCATACCAAAACCAAACCATGGACAGACGGGCCAAGCTCAGTGGGTATGCCCATGAACTGTCGAAATAGAGACCGATGTTCAAATCCAGTTGTAATCATCGTAAAGTAAAGTTTTCTCTGTCTTCTGCATACACCGGGGCGGGGCAACCCAGCCCTTCTTCGCAGGGCTGAGGCAGTCAAGAGGTCTACAAGTTGGGGCCTGGCCTGATCAGCAGTCACGAGGGAAGCATCGGGCAGATCAGGCCCTGCAACTGTCTGGACCTTATGCTCTGCACCTGGAACAGGGGTCAAGATCCAGAACGCAGGGGGCAAGCCAGGCAGGGTTCTCGCGAGGGGTGGGCTGGGCCAGTGGCTCTTCACAGTTCTTGAGAGGTCTTGCCGTCAGACTTGTGTGTATAGCGTAGCTCGAAATGTCTGAGTAGTGGTGCCTGTCTTCTGTATAGCATGGGACTCCGACACCAGGCGCTCCACATGAATAGCATAGGACACGGGAGAACCATCAAGCACTTCCTCAGGTGGCCTCTTATCCCTCACGGAACTTCAGGGGGAGCAGTATAATCCTCGGAGAGGTGGTGTGAATTAGACTCCGTCTCC